ATACATACATACATACATACATACATACATACATACATACATACATACATACATACATACATACATACATACATACATTCATACATACATAAACATACATACATACATACATACATACATACATACATACATACATACATACATACATACATACATACATACATACATACATTCATACATACATACATACATACATACATACATACATACATACATACATACATACATACATACATACATACATACATACATACATACATACATACATACATACATACTGTTACGCACTGACTTGTACTGGGAGAAATTAAATTCCTATTTTAATTTTAATTGGCTCGTTGTAAACAGTGCCTAACAAAGGACGATATCATAGAGTCAACAATATTAAAGATACGACACCCAAAACAGTTGCCAGTTACAATTAATAAGATTTTTTAAGTCTTAATATAATTAAAAAAGAGAATAAAATATACTGACAATCTTCAACTTACAGTATGGTAGATCTTGTACCAGTACATAGTTAATACAGTTAGAATAATGTGCCAATGAATAATGATGAAGTGCGAAATAAACACATATACTTATAGGCACACAAATACACAAGGAATAATACACGTCTCGTAAAGTAAATAATATCTATCTGAATCTCCGTTCTTCCGTCCGTGCATGTCAATCCCTTATATAGGTCACGTGAGCCCAGCCTTACAGAAAGACTTATGACGTTTCTAGAACAATCACATTCATTCTTCAAAATACTATTTGGAAAAGATTAATTATTTTTAGTGGCTTGCGGCATAAACACGACAGATAAAACGACTAAGCCACACCCCTCTGTGAACACAGCGTCTCATGCGGGGTCAATCAGAGGGCACGCACGAAAAAAAAATTATGTAAACAAGCTCTATATAACAAAGATACATACATACATACATACATATAGACATACATCATACATACATACATACATACATCATACATACATACATACATACATACATACATACATACATACATACATACATACATACATACATACATACATCTTGTATCGTCCTTTGTTAGGCACTGTTTGAACGAGTCATAACGTAAAACAAGAGATAGATTTCTCACAATAGAAGCCAGTGCGTAACAATACATACATACATACATACATACACACATACATACATACATACATGCATGCATGCATACATACATACATACTCACATACATACTTACATACATACATACATACATACATACATACATACATACATACATACATACATACATACATACATACATACATACATACATACATACATACATACATACATACATACATACATACATACATACATACATACATACATACATACATACATACATACATACATACATACATACATACATACATACATACATACATACATACATACATACATACATACATTTCGGCCGAAGCCAAAAATAGGCCGAAAGTTTAAATTGACTTTTGGCCTAAACCGAAAAAAGACCGAAAGTTTAAAAATGACTTTCGGCCGAAACCGAAAAAAGCCAAAGGTTAAAAATGAATTTCGGCCGAAACCGAAGCCAAAACTGAAAATGAAATGTTAAGATATTTTGAAATTCGTTCCCACATACATTCTGCATACATCGAAAATGATGTGGGCAAGTATAAATATTTACATTCTTTTCATAAAAAATGAGATAATCGTGAATATTAATAAATAAACAACTAATATAGGGGTCTCCAACTCGCCGCCCGCGAGCCTTTTGTTACCGGCAAGACGATATTTTGCGGCCCGCTACATGACAGAAAAGTTAAGTGTAAATGCGCCGGCCCGTTTCCCCCATTCTCATATCTATAACGTGACTCTCCGCGACGGTTTCAGTCGAATCTCACCGACTCGTCTATTTTTGATTTTTTTTTTTTAAATATCTCTATATATTTTTGTATACAACAATGAGTAGGTGGATGAAAGTGAATCCTAGTTCTATAGAAATCCTTACTGATTTTATTGTTATTTATAAAGGTTGAGCAGATTATAACAGTTGTAACCGCTTTTTTTCTGGATTACTTGATGCGGCCCACTCTCATTCAGACACTACCTCCTGCGCCCCCCTCCCCCTCCTGATGATTTGAGTTTGAGACCCTTGATCTAATGAATACTTTGGATTTTACCAATTTAATATAAAGTAATTTAAATTGCTGTACAATTTGTTAAAATGAATATGGTAGGAGAAAATCTGGCACAAATTGGGGGTGGGGGACTGGGAATTAATGCAAAATATTATTTTTTAAACCAGGTCTCTAAAAATTGTGGTTCTAAAAGATTGCTTAATTTGTTTTTAAAGATCGTTTAGTTGGTTGTTATTGATCGGTTAGTTTGTTCTTAAAGATCGGTGAGTTTGTTCATAAACATCGCTTAGTTTGTTCTAAAATATCGCAAAGTTTAATGTTAAAGATACTTTATTTGTCCTTAAAGATCGCTTAGTTTGTTGTTAAAGATCGCTTAGTTTTTTGTTAAAAATCGTTTAGTTTGTTCTTAAAGATCGCTTAGTTTGTTGTCAAGAAAGTTTAGTTTGTTGTTAAAGATTGTTCAGTTTGTTGTTAACTATCGTTTAATTTGTTGTTAAAGATCGCTTAGTTTGTTGTTAAAGATCGCTTAGTTTTTTTTCATAAAGATCGCTTAGTTTGTTCTTAAAGATAATTGATTTTGTTCCTTAAGATCGATTAGTTTGTTCTTAAAGATCTTTTAGTTTGTTCTTAAAGAACATTTAGTTTTCTCTGAAAGATCGCTTAATTTATTCTTACAATTCATTTAGTTTACTAATAAATATCATTTGTTTGTTCTTAAAGATCATTTAGTTCGTTCTTAAAATCGTTTAGTTTGTTCTTAAAGATCGCTTAGTTTGTTTTAAAGATCGTTTAGTTTGTTCATAAATGTTATTTAGTTTGTTGTTAAATATCGTTTAGTTTGTTCTCAAAGATCGCTTAAATTGTTCTTAAATGTCACTTAGTTTGTTGTTAAATATCACTTTCGCTGAGTTTTAATTGACCGAAAACCTGAGTCACTTTCGGCCGGATGGCTGAAAGTCTAAGTCAATTTCGGGTGAAACCGAAGAAAAACCGAAAGTTAACTTTTCTCTTTCGGCCGAAACCGAAATTAAGCCGAAAGTTAACTTTTCAGTTTCGACGGAAACCGAAACTTGGCCGTAAATGATAAAATGGCCACTTTCGGCACCGAAACTGAAGCCGAAGCCGAAATTCGGTCGGTCTCTAACATACATACATACATACATACATACATACATACACACATACACACATACACACATACACATATACACACACATACACACATACACACACACGCTCGCACACACACACACACATGCACACACATACACACACACACACACACACATACATACATACATACATACATACATACATACATACATACATACATACATACATACATACATACATACATACATACATACATACATACATACTTACATAATCCTTATATGCTTTTAATATTTTGTTTGAACGTTAAACTTATTAAGAGCTCCTTAATGATAACTAAATTCTTTTACTTCTTGCACTAACATTTAACGCATTTCTATTTCTTTGTCGTGTCTTTTTTTGTTTTAACATCTGACGAAGGCTTTCAGCCGAAACGTTGTCCAGTTCTTTCCCGTCAAGCCTTTTATTTATCGTATTGGCCTATCATTCAATCAATATCGTAGCAAAAAAGGGTTTTATCTTTTAAAAAAATTAATAATACCTGCTTTCTCGTTGCCGACTCTGACACCCACATCCTTTGCTAAACCTCGCCTATTATTGTGTTAAGAAGAGATCGAACTCTATTCAATCTCCTTTTTCATAGCCACCTCCATGCTACTCCTAAAACTTTGAGACCAAGCTAAGTTGACGCATCCGTTGTAGAACTTACCATTTTGTCATCCAGACTCAGCGCAGCCCGTTCATTAAGATTCGTTTTCATATTAAGAACGGTTTCCTTTGTACAAGCCCCAAAATGATTTAAGAAATTGTTTATACCCGTTGCCATATGGCTTAACGGGTCAAGACGGGTCATTCAGAAAGAAGCAATTAACACGTTCGAAATATTGTTCACGATAAACAATGTCCCATTACGAAAGAAAATGTTTAATAAAGCTATCAGAAGGGCTCACGAGATTTTAAAATCATCTGCACTGTTTCCTGCCCAAAACCCCCGCTATGGTTAACTTAGAGCAGTGGTTCTTAACCTTTTTGGAGGTACCGAACCCCATCAGTTTCATATGCGCATTCACAGAACAATTCTTCATAGGAAAAATAAAATATGATTTTTTTTTGGTACTCCGCCGAACCCCTGTTGTTCAATCGAACCCAGGTTAAGAACCACTGACTTAGAGAACAAACTAGTACACACCTTTGCGACCTTAACACCACACTCCATGTTCTCCTTCACTTGTTATATCTTTTTTTTCCGCCCCTCATTTATGCAACGTATCGCCGCGTACGTACTTTTCCCTCCCCTTTGCTTTTCTTAACTCTCTTATTCATTAGTGGTAAAAAATTCCATTTGCTGTCCTCTCGGATAAAATATATCGGATAGATATTTCCGCTGAATTTTAATTTTCCATTTGTGTTAGTCTTCGTTTTTTTCCCGCTGGAGATGGCTTTCTGCCGACACATTCGTTGTTTTATTGAGCTCATTTTTGCAGGTTTCTACCATAATTTATTTCAGAAATTTCCTTTCAATTCAAACTCATTGCAATCACATACTCCGTCTATTGTCCATTTTTGCCGAATGCGCTCCGTTTCGCTGGCCTTCCACTTGTTTGAAGCACTCATATACTGCTGTTCGCCAGCCGATGAATGGGTAATATTACTTTTGAGAAATTTCGAGGGTTTGCCAAATATTTCAATAATCTTTCCAAAAAAAAAAATATAAACCAATTTTTAACCAGATTCTTATTAAAGTTGTTTTTATTATCTTTTTGAGGTCAAAACGTAGCATTAAAACAAAGTGCGGCCCAGAGTACAGTGTACGCTGAGGGGAATTTCAACGGTAGAGCAGAGAATGCGGTGGATGGAGATGCAAACAGCGATGGTTCATACGGTAGCTGCTCTCACACGTGCTTAGCAGACCCGTCACCACGTTGGAACGTTACGCTTGACAACACATACGTTGTCAATAAATTTGTTGTATACAGCAGAATGAGCTCGCAGAACTCTCGTAAGTTTACAAAAAACACATAAAAAAAACAACAAAACCTTTTGGCCTCTGACTTTCTAGTTTACAAAAAAAAAAAAAATCAAATCAGAAGCACAAAGCAACCCGTTCACAAGCTTCATTTCATTGAGTCAACTCCGGATTTCATTTGAGGTGTAATGAGAGAATTTTTATTATTAATTTTTACACATATCTATCTTGTGATAAAAAATGGGTAACGTGAATGTTTAAAAGCGTCACATTTAAATTGTGATATTTTTTTTACTATGTTTGGTACCATTTACCGTGACAAATGCGACACATCAAAAAACACTGTCACTATAATGACGCACATAAAACTCCACACAAACAGAACTTCTCCCGTGAGAACTGCGCATATAGACAATTGCAGCCACACAAATTGTGCTCATCGACATGTACACATCGAAAAAAAAATACACAATAAAGTATTTTAGTGTTGAAAAAGGATTTGAAAAATAACTGAATATACATTTTAGCATCTATCGAGCACTGTACGTGTTTACATTTTTTAAAATATCTTAACAGATTGCGGTCAACATGACTGTAGGAATAGACTGATACATTTCTCGCTGCAAAGTTTCGATGACTCCAACAAACCAGTGTTCTCCTACAGCGACCCAGGCGACACACTACGGACGATACACACGGTCTTTGTGAGCAGCGATCTACGAGACGTGCCCATCAGGGGGGTATCGATCAGCGTTAATGAATCAAACACGAATGAGACATTCCCAGTTCTTACACTGTGTGAGGTGGAAGCTTATGGTGGTAAGAAGTTACAGGAGTTGCTTATCCAATATTGAGCTTGAACTATAGCCTTACAAGTGTTGGTGTCTTCCCTGGATCCAGAGTTTACGATCCAGCATTTTAGCCCTCTCTTATAACATTAGTCGATTTATATTGTATATTTTCGTTTTTTTAAAAAATCTTTTAAAATAAAAAAAAAATAAAAAACTTCATAAAGGTTCAATCGGTCACACAACTCTACTGTTTTGCTTTGTTTAACTTTTACTTTAGGTTGCTTTGTAAAATGTAGTTATCTTTGCATGGTTGCTTCTGCTATTGAATGTCACATGGAATACTAATAATAAAATTTAAAAAAAATCATGAGCAAACAAGTACAGTTCTTAAAGTAAATAATAATTCTTTAATTTAAAAAAAAAACGCATGTGTCTGATCTAGCGATAAACCTAGTAATTGTTAAAGAGATTTTTAATCTACGGATTAGATTTCTCCTACATATGACTAAAGTGATGAGGAGGGTCTCTGTGACAAAATGATACCTTAATTTATTTTTCTAGATGATTCGTCTTCAGAAGCATACAAATTATTAGAGAAGGGTTCATCTTTCTGAAAAAAATACATTTTGAAATAAACTACTTTAAAATGGAACGTCGTTACTAGTATTGTTGTCGTTAAATTTGCGCTCCTCTTGTACGCATTAGCTTTTGATCGCACCGCTAGGTCCGCTCATGTTTCGAATTCTCAAGAAAAACAACACCGTTATAACTAGGTTTAAAACAGCGATGTGTTTAGGGCCTATCTGTGTCTTTAAATCACATTTCTAAACATTTACAAAAAAAAAAAGTCTTTTTGAGTCTTTCCTTTTCTCCATAGATTGTGTGCCCGGAAGATCGGGCCTTGGATGTGTAAATAACTGCAATACAAGCTGTAGAACAACTTGTCATGGGGACACAGGCGTTTGTCCAATATATTCTTCACAAAATCAAGTTAAAGGTAAAATATACGGCATCTATTGAGATATCTTTTGTTTTCTGCTTGTTTTGTCCAGCAGCAGGTTTTACGAGCGACTATAATACTGGCGTGTAAGTTTTTTTGTGTTCACATATATGTATCCATAAGGATGTTAAGAAAAGCCCAGAAATGTCTTCTTTCTGTCTGCCTGAAACGCTTAGGGCCAGCGGGACCCCCCTCCCTTTCTTTTGGTCAAAAATGAGTATATTCAATTATATTAAATGCAGTCCTTCATTTAATACATTCAATAAACGATATTAAACGGCCCCATTGGAAACACAAAATTATTGTCTTTATATGAACCGGTGCAAACTTTAACAAATCGAAAGTTGACGTATTTAAAAAAAATAAAAGAAAAGTAAGAGTTTGTTATATGAGTTTTAAGGCTGGTAAGATCAACAACTTTTAGATGGATTCTTAAAAATAAAATGTTGATTGAAATTGGGTTTTCTACAACGTCACCAAAGATCAGGTAAGGGTGGGGGGGGGGCGTACAGAAATTCGTGTGCTTTTGAAGTTCTTTTGAATGTGAATAGAAAATGTGAATCTTTGTTTTACACAGCTTTAAAACGTTCGAAAACTGATTCGGATTAAGGGATCAGAGAGGAATGGGGATAATGTAGAGGAAAGCGACGGCGCCGAAGGCTCCCGAGCGAAAGTAGGGGAATGGTCTGGGTAGAGGGGAGCCCTCTGTTGTTTTGTGGCTTTTTGTTTGTCCACAGATTATTTCTAAAAGTAAATGGCAACCCACAAAGAAATAATGGGTGAAAAATGTTCGTGTAAATGAACTAAAATAGAATGGTATCTGTATCTGTTGATACGTAAATGTTAATATGAACTAGTTATTTAAAAAGTTATTTTGGTGTTACGGTATATTACGATGCGGATCAAAAACTTCAAATTTACGGCAAAGTTCATGCGCTGTAAGTAATTAACTTGACTGCCTGAGAGAAAATTTTGTTGCTTTTCTCAAATTTACTTATTTCATACATGTATGATTACATGACTTCTAATAAATAAATGGCAACACGAAAGCAAATTTATGCAGCACTCTTCGGAAATATGTTGACATGTCTAGTACTTTGAGGATGCTGACTCTTTGGCAACTTTCAATTTACTGGACCGCATATTGATATAGAGATACATCATATTGATAGTGGTTCTTGCGCGTTAAGTTTCCAAAACATAAATCTCTCTCTCTTTTTCTTTCTTTTACTGTTAACAGTTTAATTTTCCTCAGCCGGATTACGCTTCGCGGCTAGATTGTTTCCAGTCCCTCATCATTGCATAAAATAAATTCTGAAAAAACACAAATCTGATAAAGCTATACGTTTTAAAAGACACGCGTAATGCAAAAAAAAATAAAAAATAAATTATAAGATCAATTGTTTGACGTTTTTATCAGGGAGCAATTAAACACTTAATCACATACCTGTAGCGCTATGCTCGTATTAGTCATATGGGAGATTTTAGTGCCAGTTGTTTATTTTTATTTATACCGGTAAACAGGAAACTTGAGCATTTTTTTATGTTTTTGTCCAGCATTAAGTAAAACCGTTAAGACTGCTGCTGATAGATAATGAAAATTCGGATCTTATTGTATGGACACCTCTCGGCTCCCCCCACACCCCAGCCCTAGCGCAAAGCTTTGGGTGACCACATCATTCGCCGCCGCCGGTCGCCAGGCCCTGCTACTGCAATAAATATGTTTGGTTTTCATTATATTATTAAACACATTTATTTATATATGTTAATTTTTTGTGTATAGTTTATTATGAACTTTACTGTCTCAATGACGTCTTGATTTTTTATTTTTTTATCTGTTAAAATGCATCATGTTCTCCAGTTAGGTGCAACGCAATATAAATAACATTTCGGACAACTCAAAATTAAGCAACAGGAAACATTCACTGAATCAAGAAGTGAGGGAAGGTTTAGACGTGTTTGCCTTTATAGGTATCACAAAACAAACTCGGGCAAACTGTCTGCGCATGTCGAAAAATGACGCAACAACTTTAGTGGCCATTTTATAATCGCTTCTACGGTGACCTCGGATTGGTGCGTTTTACGTTACACTTTTCTAATTATAAATACATTTTGTAATCGATAAAGTAGAATTGTTGTCTTACGGCCAAGCGCATACAACGACCTGAACCTCCGTTTTTTTTTTTAAATTTTTTTTTATTTTATTGCCATGCCACTTTGACAGTTCGGTAAGCTGTAAATACTTACATACACTTTTTTTTTTTTAAAGCGATTGCACTACATTTAAACCTAAAGAATGCAGTTAATCATCTAAACTGGATCGGGAATAGCTTCGTAAGAGTCAATTTACCGTTTTCAATTCAATGTAAGCCCTCTCAGATTGTCATCACCCCACCATCACCGGAAAGGGGGGGGGGGATAAATGTTGCCACTTTTTGTATCTTCACCGGGAACGGAATTCACTCTTCGTACTATAATTGCACTTGCATACCTAATTTAAATTAGCATTTTAAAATTTATTATTATTAAAGTCGTCATATGTAGCGTGGTACCCCAGCGTAGGGCAAGGCTCACAGCGATTCACATAAAAATTAGCAAAACAGAAAAAAAGAAAAGAAAGAAAAATCATCATCATAAACATGACATTAAAAAAGCTGTGACGTAGAATTATACTTTTTAAATAACAACTTTGTTAAACTATTGATCTCGCCTAACCCAGTAACTATTTACCCTTGTCTAGCCATGATGGACGACCCCCCCCTCCCCCCTCCCCTCAAGGTGCATCGAACATTGTCTAGCGGTCAGAACGGAGAGAGGATGAATCAGAATAGTAGAGTTTGAAGAGATGTGCCTTGTGTGCAGTTTTGAAAGTATTTATTTACATATTTTCATTAATTGTTAATGTACTGGTAATTTCTAATAATAATACAAATAAATAACAACAACATCAACAAAACAAACAAAAAAAAAAGAAAGAAGTTTTAATAAACACAAGAACTTTAATAACATTGAAAAGAAATTAGTATAACAACTTGTGTAGATTCACTGAATGATTCAGGATTATGATTTCATATGATTAGTTGCTATTTCTAGGCTTATTTCAGATTTTAACTTTCTATTGTAGAATTTGGTGTTCTTTCCATAGTGGCAATGGGGCACATTTGGACGTAGATGCTTAAGATAATGACAAGATTTATGAAGGAGAGATTGTCGGATTCATCAACAAGACCAAGAAGTCTGTAGAGCATTCCACCCAGAAAATGAA